CTAAGGTGGAACTAGAACTCACCGTCTCCTGGTGATTGGTCCAAAGTTAGACAATGGTTTTCATGCCTAAGGCAGGACAAGAATTCTTTGTCTCCTGGAAATTGACTCAAAGTCACCCAGCCGGCTTTCATGCTTTGGGCAGGACTAGAATTCAGAGTCTCCTGGTGATTGGCCCAAAGTCACACAACTGATTTTCATGCCTAAGGTGGGACTAGAATTCACCACCTCTTGGTAATTGTCTCAAAGTCACCCAGACGCCTTTCACGCCTAAGGCTGGACTGGAACTCACCACCTCCCAGTTCCTAGCCCGGTGCCTCGAACCCCCCCACCAAACCGGCTCTCCCGTCCAGCTTTTACCCCGCCCCACCGCTTAACCTGCCGGTCCCCTCTCCCTCTCCAGATCTGTGGCGGGGACAAGCCCTACGTGGCCCCCGAGCTGTTAGAGGTAAAGCACCGGGAGCAGAGCACGCGGGCTTTGGAGCACTTCCGGCGCATCAAGAAGATGGGCGGCCGGGAGTTCAGCCAGCGCTACGAGGACGAGCTGATGCAGGAGATGAGCGACCTCTTCGAAGACCTGGCCAAGCATAACCAGAGCAAGAACATCTTCAACACGTTCCGGACGCCCGCCATCCTCTTCGGGGTCATCGTGGTGCTCTACGTGGCCTCGGGGGTCACCGAGTATGTAGGACTGAGCCTGGCCGCCCAGCTGTGCAACTTACTCGTGGGGCTGTTGCTTCTCTCCCTCCTGGCCTGGGGCTACATCCGATACTCGGGCGAATACCGCGAACTGGGCATCGCGATCGACAGCACCGCGGAGTTCGTGCTTCAGAAGATACGGGCTGTGGGGTACGTGGTTGGCTTAGTCACGCGGGTGGGGCGGGGGGTGGGACGGGGGGAAGCGTTGTTTGGCACTTCGATCCCGACCGGCCCCAGGTGGGCTCAGCCTTCCGTCCTTCCGAGTTGGGTAAAATGAGGAGGACCCAGATTGTTGGGGGCAAGAGGCTGACTCTGTAAACCGCTTAGAGAGGCTGTGAAGCACTGTGAAGCGGTATATAAGTCTAAGTGCTATTGTCCTTCCTTCCTTCCTTCCTTCCTTCCTTCCCTTCCTTCCGTTCCTTTCCTTTCCTTTCCTTCCTTCCTTCCTTCCTTCCTTCCTTCCTTTCCTTCCTTCCGTTCCTTTCCTTTCCTTCCTTCCTTCTTTCCTTCCTTCCTTCCTTCCCTTCCCTTCCCTTCCCTTCCCTTCCCTTCCCTTCCCTTCCCTTCCTTCCTTTC